TAATTTTTGGTATAGTAGTTGTGACTTATTCACACTCTATACATTTGGCTTCCGCAACAATTTTCGTACTCAGAACACAATGAACCGATGATTAATGAATGAAAAACGACTTAGATTATATACACTAACATGAAAACAAAGTAAGTTTGTATGATGTTGACGGTAAATTTAGATATTTTCTCTCGAAGAATTTGAACACATGAATTCCACAAATTCATGAGGGAGCTTCGTTAATTCAAAGCTAAATACGTGATAACTTCATAACGACAAGACGAGTATGAACACGTGAATTCCACAAATTCATGAGGGAGCTTCGTTAATGCAAAGCTAAATACGTGAGAATTTCATAACGAAAACACGAGTATGAATAAATCAAAAATACGACAAGGAACAAACTTAGAACAATTTTGAATAGTACACAAGCAAATGTGTGTGATTGCAGCATATTTCAGAAATTCTTAGTCAAGTCAATAAATCATACAGTTGGTGTACAACTTAAAACAGAACAAATTTGGAGTATTAAAGAACGTACCATACAAGTAGCTTTGATAGAGGTATCGGCATCAAACCCAGGAAAATCTCTGTTTTCACAAATGGACAACATTACATCCATGAAATCTTCTTCCTCACCAGATTTAATCCCTTTAGAATCCCTCCTCCTTTTATGCTCTCCTAACCATTCTTCAACAACAGAGTCAATTTCTTTTGCAACTTCTTTCATTGCCTTCTCATGTCCTCCTATATCTAACCACCTTAAATAAGGTAAAAAATCAGCTACAACAGTAGCCCCTAACAACTCAAAAAATCTTCTAATTGCTTTATGAGCTTTATTTATTCCTTCTCCTTCACTACATTCTTTTCCAAATAACATCTTCACCATAGTATTCATAATTACATTCCCTAACCATTCTTTCATCTCCATTTTCACTGCACCATTTAAACTACTACTACTTTTATTCTTCAGCCAGTAGTTATACGTTTCTTTGATAGCTGATTTTACTTCAAATTCTCTTATGTGTTTGAGCATTTCAATTCGTCGACTGGACAGAAATTCAATAGTGGCTATTTTCCTTATCTCTCGCCAATAAGGTCCGTAAGGAGCAACCCCAAACATGGCATGGTTGTAGCCTATGATTTCTGAAGCCAAGGATTTGGGCCGATTTGCAAGGGCCAAATCATTTGTGGTGAAGCATTCTTTTGCTACTTTGGGATCACTAACCACAACAACTTTGTATACACCAAGCTTCAACCCAAAAATTGGCCCATATTTTTCGGCCATTCGAGCTAAGACTTTGTGAGGTAGCTGATCAGATTCAGTTCCAGTGAGAAGGTGGAGATGGCCAAAGATAGGCCATGCTCCTGCTGCTTCAGGTACCCTTTTGATCCTCTGCCCATTGTTTCTTTTGGTTGAGAAAAATTGGTTGTAAAGAAAGAATTTAAAAACTAAGGAGCTAGCTAGTGTAATGGCAATCAATAAGAAATCCATTGCTAGATATTTATGTGATGTGCTAGAGCCTTTATATTCAGAAGTATACTCTAAAAAAAAAAGTCTATTCGTTGAAATTTTGATGTTTTCGTCCTCTTCCGTTTCTGGCAGGATTGCGGCCTAGCTAGCGTACACAATAAGGAAACAATATTCAATTTATTAACAAATGATAAAATTGCATTGGGAATGCAATCAGTGGTGGACAGTGGTTGACAGTGTAAGATAACAAAAACAAATGCCAAATGGTATAGAGTTGGTAAACTTTATTTACATACGCCTTCGGTCAAAATCGATCACAGTCGACCCACCGACCAAAATCGATCACAGTCAAGTGACCGACTATGCCCGGTCAAAAAATGGGCCAAAAAATCGACCGAATTTTTCAAAATATTTTATTTTTTAATTTCTTTTACGAAACCGATCAATTTGGCACAAAAATACGGAAAAATATTTTTGCATCTAGCGAAATTTATTTTTCAAGAAATCGATCAACTTTGGTCGATTTTTTATTTAAAATAAATTAAAATTAATGTTCAAAAAATCGATTGAAATCGGCCGGTTATTTCGACTGGTCATTTTAAGAAACTGATCGATTTCGGCCGGTCATTAAAACCGACAGACATCGGTCAGTTATTTTCATGCAAAAATGTAATTAAAGAGTATAAACGAAATAAAAGGTAGTCTTAAAACAAAATCCATTAATGGTGTAGTGGTAGAATAGTATCCTGCCACAATAGAAATCCTGGTTCGATTGCCAGATGGTGTATTTTTTAATTACATAATTAAAAATACCGACTAACTTCGGTCGATTTTTTCAGCAATTTTTTCTTAGGAATTTAATTGACCGACAGAAATTGGTCGAAAAATATCGACCGAAGTCGGTCGATTGGCTCTACCGATCATACGATTACCGATAGCCACGAATTAATCGGTTTTCGATCGATTTTTACCAATTACCGACCAACATCTATCAGTTTTAGCCGTCGATTCCCCCTCCCCACCCCCCTTTTTTTAGTATTTTTGAAAAGAAAATATGTATGTTGTCATCAGTGATTTCTTTAATATCGCAACATGCATAACCACTAAATTCACGGGATAACAATTTCGTATATGATATGAAATAAAGACTATAAAGTAAAGACAAGTATAGAGAGAAACTGATATATTATTCGAATTCAAACTGATGTACATAATGAACTGAAATCTCTTCTATTTATAGAAGAAAGAAAGCTGCTTTGTAAGCTGCTACTACAAGTTGTTGTGTAAGCTAATACTACAAGCTGCAGTGTAAGCTACTATAAGCTGATGTGTAAGCTGCTACTACAAGCTGCTGTTGTACCAGATATGGATAATCTTCTACTGAGAGAAATATTTATCCATAACGGAGTACTTAAAAGATAAGCTTATTATACTCGGTACGGATAATCTGCTACCGGGGATAATGTTTATCCATAACTGGGTACTGAAAAGATAAGCTTATTATACCCGGTATGGATAAACTTCTACTAGGGGTAATGTTTATCCATAACCGGGTACCGAAGTGATAAGCTTCTTTAGGAAGCTTATTTCCAATATAGTACTAAATAGATAAATATATTTACGGTGGAGTCCCATATGGGTAAGCTTCTTCAGGAAGCTTATCTACAACGGAGTACTAAATGAACATCCATAATATAATATATTTATAACACTCCCCCTTGGATGTTCATTAAAAGATATGTGTCTCATTAAAACCTTACTAGGAAAAACCACGTGGGAAAAAAATTCTAGTGAAGGAAAAAGAGTACACATATTTAGTAATACGCATTGTTAGGTGCCTCATTAAAAACCTTATAAGGAAAACCCCATGGGAAAAAACCTTAGTAAGGGAAAAAGAGTGCATCGCGTATTTTACTCCCCCTGATGAAAACCTTGTTTCAAATATTTGAGTCTCCGCATTCCAATCTTGTATACCATCTTCTCAAAAGTTGAAGTTGGCAAAGATTTAGTGAATAAATCTGCTGGATTATTACTTGAACGGATTTGTTGCACATCAATGTCACCACTTTTCTGAAGATCGTGTGTGTAGAACAATTTTGATGAAATGTGCTTCGTTCTATCTCCTTTTATAAATCCTCCCTTTAATAGCGCTATGCATGAAACATTGTCTCCGTATAATATTGTGGGTCTTTTATCACATTCCAACCCACATGTTTCTCGAATGAATCACTGATCTCAATCATATGCATTTCCTGCTTGCCGGTTTTTTATCGAACTTTATGGGTATCGGATAAATAACTTGCATTACCAATATGATCTGCACCACTTTTGT